GTGCCTGCTGACCCCATAGGTTAATTTTCTCCTTAGTCCTGTGATAAGCCCCCTTTGCTCCTCCGAGGAGTGGATCTCTCACTCCGCTGCCCTGTCACATTACAGATGACTCCCAGATCTTTCGTGTCCAAGTGCGTCAAGTGGAAGACTACCCCGTGGATATCTACTACCTGATGGACCTGTCTAACTCCATGAAGGATGATCTGAAGAACATCCAGAACCTGGGCACCAAGCTGGCCAGTGAGATGCGCAAGCTCACCAGCAACCTACGCATCGGCTTTGGGGCCTTTGTGGACAAGCCCATTTCCCCCTACATGTATATCTCTCCTCCGCAAGCTATCACGAACCCTTGCTATGAGTAAGTCCTAGGCTGAGGGAGTCCTGTAAGGGCCAGAAGTTAATGGGACATCACTGGAATGTGGCTGGAAATCCATAGCAATGGATTTCAGCAGGGAGCTGGGTACCTGATTTTGGGCAGGGTTTAAACGCTGCTGCACCGCATGTTCTGCTGGCACAGGGAGGAGGAGCAGGTCTAAACTTTGAAGTGTCATTGTCACTGAAAAGGTGTTAAGGAAGCAAACAATTTTCCACCATTTTTCAGGAGAGATATTGAGGCTCAAAGAAAGTGAATCCTAAAAACCCCAGCAGGACAGAGGCTGCATCACTAGAACATGTGATTGATTTTTAGAAGGTCCTTCACCAGCCTCCAGCTATGTCCTTGGGCTCTTGAGGTGGTTGAGTCCTCTCAGCACATCCCAGACAGGACCATGGGATGTGGGAAGGATGGGAGCTGGAAGAGCCCTGTGAGCCTCATGCACTGACTGCTCTCCTCCTGCAGGATTGGGGAAACCTGCCTGCCCATGTTTGGCTACAAACATGTCCTGTCGCTTACGGACGAGGTGACCCGCTTCAACGAGGAGGTGCGGAAGCAGAGCGTCTCACGGAACCGTGACGCACCTGAGGGCGGCTTTGATGCCATCATCCAGGCCACCGTGTGTGAGGTAAGGGGCAAGAAGGCCTGGCTGGGGCTGAGAGAGGGTCATCAGGCTGGGCCTAGTGGGTTGGCAGGGACCACCCAAACACACCAGGACAAAGCTGTAAACTCTGTGGAGCTGCTGCAGGGCTGAGACCTGGACAGGGTGAATGTTCAACAAGGACATTTCTAGGCCAGTAGCCAAGGCAAGGGACGAGCAGGGCCCTTGCACAGTCCTGGGAGGAGAGAGGAGCAGAGCAGGTGCTTGGGGACTGCTGATGATCCCATGTCAGCCCTGTAGTAACCAGCCCAGAAGGGCCATCTTCTCCTGTGCCTGCACCTTGATTTTGCTGGAGATGGGAAGGGTTGCATCCCTCAGTCATTAACCACCTTGATTAACACTCCAGCAAATTAAAACCTGTCTTTCACCTGCACAAGCAGCCCATGCCCACTTGTCAGGATCCACAGCCCACACCCCCCCCCAGCACATCCCTGGGAGAGTGATTGCCCTCGGTTCCCTCTGCGGTGGCAGGTTGGTCCTTACAGCCAAGCCATGACCCAGGGTGGCAGTGAAGGCGGCAGCAGGGTGCTTACACGTAGGGCTGCCCTCGGCACGTGCTGCCACGCGACTGGGAGCTGCCTTTTGCTGCAGGAGAAAATCGGCTGGAGGAATGATGCTTCCCACCTGCTTGTCTTCACCACGGATGCCAAGACCCACATTGCGCTGGATGGCAGGCTGGCTGGCATCGTGCAGCCCAATGATGCCCAGTGCCACATTGACAAAGATAATTTCTACTCGGCCTCCACCACACTGGTAAACCCTGACCCATGCGTGGGGTTGGGGAGCCTGGAGCTCCTGTTGAGGGTCCCCATGGGATGGGAAAGGTGGTCCAGCTTGTAGAGCATGATGGGGACCAGGGTGGTTGGGGGTAGATGTTCCCAGGGTATAGCCTCTCCCCTTCCCCAGGACTATCCTTCTCTGGGCCTGATGACTGAGAAACTCTCGCAAAAGAACATCAACTTGATCTTTGCTGTGACGGATACAGTCGTGGGCCTCTACCAGGTAACAGCTGCTGTGCAAAGCCACCTTTATGGGGGGCTGGTGGGTTCCAAGGAGCACCCTTTGCAGCTGGCCATGGGTGGCCATACATAGACCAGCGGCCTCCTGTCCTATCAAAGCTCCTCAGGAAGCTCCCACGTGCCGAGACATGGTTTGGCCCAGCCATGGCACATTTACCTATCATGAGCAGACCATGCTTACGATATTTCTCCAGAACTACAGTGAGCTGATCCCAGGCACAACTGTGGGCACCTTGTCCAGAGACTCCAGCAACGTCCTGCAGCTCATAGTGGACTCCTATGGGGTGAGTGTACAGTGTGATGGCCCCACAACAGTTCTCTCCCTCCCAAAATAACCACTGCTTCACACTGCAAGCAGCCCACACAGATTTGGCAGCTGTCCCAGCTCTGAGCATCCTCCCTGGACCAGCTGTGAGCATCTGCCTCCACCCACACATGCAGGGACCCCGGGGAAGGGAGATCACTGTGTTCACCACCAGCCCCTTCCCATCCTTGAAGGCATTTCCCTGTGGAGAATGACGTAGTAGAGTCCTGAGAAAGACTTGCGGTGCTTGGCTCCTTTCCCATGCACATGGGAGCATCGCTGCAGTGCTCAGGAGGACCCCTCCCCGGGACTGAGCCCTGCCCAGCTTGTGCTGTCTTCTTCATCACTCCTCTCTCCTCCCCCCAGAAAATCCGCTCCAAGGTGGAGCTAGAGGTGCGTGACCTCCCCGAAGAGCTGTCCCTGGCCTTCAATGCCACCTGCCTCAACGACGAGGTCATCCCCGGGCTGAAGTCTTGCATGGGGCTCAAGATTGGGGACACGGTGAGGATCCTGTTCATGGGCTTGGTTTTTCTCCCCCTCTATGTAGCAGCGCTGCCAGCTCATCTGATGCTCTCCACCAGCACCGTCTGCTTGCCCCACCACCTCCTGGGTGACAGAGACCCTTGCAGGGCATGCTGTAAGCTCTTTGCAGTGGAGAGAGGGGTCCAGCTGGGTGGGTGCAAGAAGGAAAATGCTTTTCTGAGTCTGCTGGATGCAGACTCTGTAGTCCTCTAGCTCAGCCTGGGCTGCTGGCCATAGTGCATGGGCTTTTAGACTGATTTAGCCTGGTTACTGTGGCAGGCAGGTGCACTGCCCCAAACCGTGCTGGGACAGCTTTGAAAAGCCCAAAGAGACCTGGTGGGTCCCACTTCTGGTCTTCTTAAGCTTGGGCATGGATGAGAAGCTGAGCCCAGCCTGGAGCAGGTGCCCCAATACCATGCCAGGGGTACTGGCACCCAGACGCATCCCTCTGCCCTCCAGGTGAGCTTCAGCATTGAGGCCAAGGTACGGGGGTGCCCAAGGGAGCGGCAGAAATCCTTCACCATCAAACCTGTGGGCTTCAAGGACAGTCTGACGGTGATGGTGAACTTTGACTGTGACTGCTCCTGTGAGAGCCAAGCCGAGGCCAACAGCTCGTCCTGCAGCCGAGGCAATGGCACGCTGGAGTGCGGTGTGTGCCGCTGCAATCCTGGGCGCCTGGGCTTGCACTGCGAGTGCTCAGAGGAGGAGTACAACCCCTCACAGCAGGACAACTGCAGCCCCCGGCCGGGCCAGCCCCTCTGCAGCCAGCGTGGTGAGTGCACCTGCGGGCAGTGCGTGTGCCACAGCAGCGACTTTGGGAAGGTGACGGGCAAGTACTGCGAGTGCGACGACTTCTCCTGCGTCCGCTTCAAGGGCCAGATGTGCTCGGGTGAGTGCTGGGCTTAGAGGGGAAGCAGCTCAGGGCATTTACGCTGCCCGAACTCATGGACAAGGGAGATGCCAGCTATTTTGGGGCTTGTACTATTCATTGTCCCCACCTCTGGCTTGCTCAGCTGTGGCTCTCCCTGGACCAGCCCTGGGTCTGAAGCGATGCCGGGGGAATTATTCCCTTTTTGGCAGCTGGTATCACCTTCTGTGCCCAAGAGCCATGGCAGGGTGATGGGCTCTGAGGGTTAAAAGCAGACCTCAGTCCATGCTTAGACTCAGGAGTTCCACTGGGGTGGCTGGTGGGCCCTCAGAGAAGCATCTCTGGGGTGCGCAGAGCAGGGACCGGCTGGACCCTGCTCGAATTGCAGCCTCTGACATATCAGAGGTATTTCTCTGCAGGAGGAGACCCCGGGGTGGAGGAAGAGGGGTGAGGAGAGGCAATTTTTATCCTCCACCCAGTTCTTGAAGAGTCCCTTGGCAAAAGCATTGAGGAAGCAAATCTTCTACCCTTGCTGGCCTTACAGCATCACCTCTCCTGAATATTCATCTCTTCCATGTGCTATCAGACTCACCTGCTCCAGCCCCGGCTGCTGCTACTCTCAGTACTGGGGAGAGAGGGCCAGGTCCTTGGGTACTCTGCCCACGCCAGGGACCAGGGAAGGAGCCCCTCTCTCCAAAACACCCGTCCCAAGCCCCAAGAGTGGTTTCACATGTCCTGATGTGCCAGGGCCTCTTCCCCATTAGGAACCCCCATCTAGGGTTTCTCCCACCCATGTCTCCAGTAAGCACTGGAGGTCTGAGTGAACCCCAGTGCTCTGCCCCATCTCCTGTTTTTTGGGGGGATGTGAGAGGGGTGGCAGTGCCCGGGACGGGGGCATGAAGCTGTGGCACGTCCCCTCCAGGAGCAGAGCAGCCCGAAAGTGATTCAAGGTGGGAACAAGAGAGGGGTAGCCACCCCCTTTCCTATCCCCAGCCTCCCTCCGTGAGCCCAAGTGAGGTGGTTGCTAACACAGTGCCAAAAAAGCCACCGCTTTCCTGCTGCAATCTCAAAAAAACCCAGGAAAATGTCAGTGGCCATAGCTGATCCCACTCTGCCTGAGCCCAGCCTGGATGAGATGAAACCTGCTGGCCAGATGACACTCGATTCCTCCTCCCCACTGTCCCCAAATCGAGTTTTTTGGACCCCGCCTGCCCCCCAGCCCAACTTCATGGCTCACAGCTGCCTCTGTGCTGCTGGGATTGATCCTTTATCTTAACAGTCTGCTAATAACAGAGGTGCAAACGCTGGGATTTTCCCCCACCCTGAACAGTCAGTGCCCTCCGGAGCTGGGTGCCTGTCCCTGCTCCCACTGCCTGTTTGCACAATGGTGGGCAAAGGGTGGTGATGAAGCACTGCCCCCAGCCTGGGCAAGCTGTTAATTAACCTGATCTATCTGACCCTGCTGGCATCGACCCCGTCCCATTGAGCCACTTGTCTCCAGCCTCCCCATCTGTTTCCATGCCTTGTCACCCAGCACGGCACTATTTTCCTGTGACTCAGTCCTAGTTCCTCATCAACAGGGTTACACATTTATTTCTCATGCTAGTGCCCCTGAGGCCATGGCACGGATGGTGCCCAGCCGATCCCCCGCCAGGAGCAGCATTCCTGATGTGCCCCAGTGCACTCAGGGCTTGGGATGGGTTGGCGCACGCCAGCTCCATGGCGTTTCCACTGCTCACCAGGTCTTGTCTTTGAGCTGAAATCAAACCGCAGTCCAAATAGCTCCAGGCTTTGGCAGGACTTGAGCACGTCTGTCTGTCTGATTAAACTAGTCTCAGCGAGCGCGCAGAGCTTGTTGGGCTTTTCCCAGCAGTCAGCTTCCCCTGCCTGGTCCGGGGCTGGGAAACGAGTGGGATCTGGGGGGTTTGACCAGATGTCCTGACTCAATCTGAAATTAAAAGCCAAAGCTGGACTAGCTCAGAGACGGCTCTGATTGAGCATCTCCAGCTGCTGCTGCCAACCTGCCAGAACTGGGGCAGCTCAGCCTGGAATTTGGCAGTGTTTTCTTGTTTAGGTGGAATAAGAGGAGTGTTGGGGACACGGCAAAGGTTGAGGTTTGATGTGAGCTGCTGTGTGTCCCACCCCAAGGGTAGTGGAAAGGGGTTGTCCTGGGCGGCTGGTTTGCCTTGCCATGCCCATGGAGGTGGAGCTGCCACTCTGGGTACATGGGCATCCCATATGGGTGATTGCTAATGAGATCTATGGGGACACTTGAGGGTCCTGATGCCCTCTGGGTTGTCCCCAGGCCACGGGCAGTGCAACTGTGGAGACTGTCTGTGTGACTCAGACTGGACCGGTGACTACTGCAACTGCACCACCCGCACCGACACGTGCATGTCCAGCAACGGGCTGGTGTGCAGCGGCCATGGCTCCTGCATCTGCGGCAAATGTGACTGCACCCAGCCTGGCTCCTACGGTGACACCTGCGAGAAGTGTCCCACGTGCCCAGATGCCTGCACCATCAAAAAGTGAGAGAGGGCAGAGAGGTGGGATGGGTCATACCCCAGTGGTGCTGGCAGGAGCTCTCACCAGCTGCAGCCCGGTTGGGTTGGGATTGCAGCTATTTCTGCAGCCTGAGACCGAAAAATGTGATGGTTTCCCCAGGGAAAGCATGGAGGAGCTCACAGTACCTCCCTCTTCTTCCTCAGGGAGTGCGTGGAGTGCAAGAAGTTTGAGCGGGGAGTGCTGGTGGAGCAGCAGTCCTGCAGCCGCATGTGCCGCGACGAGATCGAGACGGTGCAGGAACTGGGTAAGACAGGAGACCCAAACACCTGCCCTAAAGTGTGGAAACGCGGTGGGGGCTGCGTACGCTCTCTGCTTTCCCTCCACGTGTGCCTCCCCTGGCTTGGGGGCCTCTGAGCCTCTCGCACTGGCAGGTGACAGGGGCAAGGACGCCGTGAACTGCACCTACAAGGATGAGGATGACTGCGTGGTGCGGTTCCAGTACTATGAGGACTCCAGCGGCAAGTCCATCCTCTACGTTATCGAGGAGCCAGGTAAGACCTGGCTGCTGTAGTCAGTCTAGGGGGGATGCGGAGCATGCTGTGCTGGGTTTATGTGCTAAATGCATGGGTTTTGAGTCCCCTGTGTACCTCCCACTCCAGTCAGGCTCCATGGTTAGGTGCTGAGAGGGCTTAAAGAGCTGCTTTGTTCCCTGCTCCGTGCCACCGGGACCATGATTTCCTGCCTCTGTCTCTCATTTCCCCACTGTGTTGCTCAGTTATTTCACCTCCTCATTGAGGCCAAGGATGGGGGCTCAACCTTCCCACTATCCTGATCCTGTTTCTGACTCCATGGGTGTGACTTTTCTCAAGAATCGGGTAAGAGCTGGGTCCCATTAGCCAGGTGGGAGGAATACTGCAGCTGTGCCCCAGGGCTGAGATACAGCAGCCCCCTGCAATGCAGAGCAGCCCCGGGGTCTCCAGCGACCTCAGGGTCTGATTTCCAGCTGAGCCGGGGGCTGTGTGGCCACAGATCCTTTGAAAGCAGGGCCATGAAGGCAGCTGCCAGCTCTCATTACAGCTGCCTGCCATTGGCAGGGCTGCAGCCCACCATCCCCAGCCCCTGCACCCAGAGGGGAGAGGCAGGTGAGGGCCAGGGTGGCTGCACAGCCCCGGGCAGTGTGCGGGAGAAGCAGGGTGGCTGCTGGGGTTCACACCGGATCTTGCCACCCTAGTCTGCCGATGCGGCATTGACGCACAGCCAGAGAGTGGAGGTGGTGCAGGGTGTCAGCCGGTCTGGTGGTTTGGGGATGAACTTCCACCAGCCCAAGGACTCGGTCTTCAGTGTCATCCCCCACCATGGATGGGACCTGTGACACCCCTGACCTGGACTGCTCCAGACTCGGATGCAGACCCCCACCCTATAGACAGGAGCTCAAGGATCTCGGCATGTGCACTGCTGTGCTCAAGGGTGGAGACTCCTGCTCCCTAACAGGGGAGGGTGAAGCCCTCCTGAGGCCAGAGGAGCTCCATGTACCCATGGCCAGGCAGCCCCAGAGCTGCTTTTAATTGCCCCAGTGGTGCCAAGCCCCCCTAACTCTGCCCTCTTCCCTCTGCCAGATTGCCCAAAAGGGCCGGACATCCTGGTGGTCCTGCTGTCAGTGATGGGTGCCATCCTACTCATCGGCCTCGCCGCCCTGCTCATCTGGAAGCTCCTCATCACCATCCACGACCGCCGGGAGTTTGCCCGTTTCGAGGAGGAGAAGGCCAGGGCCAAGTGGGACACGGTGAGGGCCAGCAGATTGGGTGTGCCAGGCAAGAGTCCATGAATCCCACAGCCCCTGGGTTGACTGGATCCAGATCCCAGTGCTCCCAGCACGAGAGCCTAGTTGCTGTCTGTGGTCCCAGGGCATGGTCCTTAGGGACCAGCTTGCCCCATCCCTCTCTGAAGCATGGCACAGTGTCACAGGCAGGACTCGGGGTGGCACTGCCAGCCTGGACACCCCTTCCCTGAACCCACTGTGGTCCCAGAGGCTGTGCACAGGCGACAGCAGATGTCCCAGATGATTTTCCCACTGCCAGCATATCCCAAGCACTTGTCACCAGCGTGACCCTCTTACTCACCGCTCACACCAGTGTTTCCATCCCGTGAGCGAGGCGGAAGGTCCCTCTTGCCACAGGGTGCTGGAAGGGCTGAGGCACCTGGAGCACAAGGAAGGGGGCTGGGATGGCACTGGTGCCTGTCCCCCACCTCTCCTCCACGTCCCCAGCGGGAAGGGATGGGGTGGCTCTTTTAGGATGTCTCTCTGCTCCTGAGTTCCTGCTGCCTTTCCTCTCCTCCATGGCAGCTTTTTCCTGCTCTCCCCCATGAAACCTCACGGGGAGCTGTTAAACTCCAGCCGTTTAAAGCTGGAGCAGCCAAAGCCTTGAGCAGAGTCATGGATCCACCACTCAATGCTGAAATGGTGCCTCCATTTCCCCAGCTGTAAAGTAAAGTGAATGCTTATGCCAAGCACAAAGCGATGATGCTCTTTTCCATTCTTCTTCCAGGGCCACAACCCTTTATACAAAGAGGCTACGTCTACCTTCACCAACATCACATACCGCGGGAACATGTAAGGATGCCACATCCAGCGCTGGCCGTGGGATCAGCCAAGGATCTGTGAGATCTTCTGGAGTCCGGTTTACAGAAAAGCTTGTGTGTGCCTGTGTGTGTGAGTGTGTCTGCGTGTAATTTAACAATCCCTTGACTGCCTCTGAGGCCCTGTTGCACGTCACCCCACTGTAACTGCAGAGACGTGCTTTCCACAGCAAACCTCCCGTCCTTACCTCTGTGGGTCGCCTCGCGGGAGCTGGCGGCCCTTCCATACACTGAATGTGGAGAAGCGGGACTTTCTCTGACTGGTGAGTCTGTGAACTGTTAGGTGCTCATTGGACCAAGACGATTTTGGGAGTGGCTGCTCGAACTAAAGGCTGAGCTGTGTTCTCCTCCATGGTCCGTGCTGATGAAGCTCTGCCTGCTCAGAGAGTCCCCTTGTGCACTGGACAGATGCGGTCCCCCTGGGTACAGGAGCCATCTCCTTGGGGGGCAGGGCAGCTATGCTTGCTGCCAGCAGGCAGGAGCCATCGCGTGGCTTTGTGGGTTGAGGACACCACTTGAGCAACCTGGCAGCCCCTTGCTTCTTGTAGCCACATGTTTCTGGCACTGCTGTGGCACAAGACAGTGAAAAGCAGCACCCCAGCATCACGATGCCCCTCCTCATTCCTTCCATATGCACTCAGTTTGCACTATGTAGCATCAGCTGTGCTGGTCCCAGATGCAGCCTGGCTCAGCTGCTGGGATGGTGCTGAGCTCCCCGTGCCCCCCTCCACCATCCCCATGCCACAGAGCACATGGATGTGCAGGCAGCAGCCTGGGCAGGGTTGTGATGCCCATTATCCCTTGAGTCCGGCCACGTCACTCTCTTTTCTGTGCTTTTTGGGCTGCGTAACTGCACCATGCTTGGTTTTCTGTTTAGCTCCGGCTTCCAGAAGAGCAGGCAGGGTTCAGGCCACGTCCTGCTGCCTGGGGCTGTGTATCACCTGTGGTTTGTCCCCTGTGGAAAAACAAAAACATGTCTCGGTAGCAGAGTTTGGCTGTGACAGTGCTGCTGCCTGGTCCATGCCCCAGCCAGAGCCTCATGCCTCTGTTCCCCTCGATTGCACCAAAAAGCAACAGAGACCTCGTGCTGTGTGTGGAGCTGCCCCCCAGAGCCCTGGCAACATGTTGGCTGAGCTGGTTGTGGTTGTGTTCCCCAGGTTCCTTGGCTGGCCTGTCCCCAGCAGCGTGGGAGCTGGGGCTGAGCCCCAGAGCCAGGGGTAGATGGGCAGCACCAGAGCGGCAGTGATTCATACCATAGAAATAAAAATAAATAAAATAAAAAATCTCAAGCTACTAATGGTGTTGGTGTCCACCCCAGCAGTCTGTGCCTAGGCCTCCTGACCTGTGGGTAGCCCCTGGCACCCCAGCATGACTCAGAGAGCTGGTCTGGGACAGGATGGGTTGAGGGATGGGGGAGCCAGTGCAAGCAGGGCTGTGGGCCCCCCATGGGGTTCTCTGCTGTGTTACTGGTGCCCTCCTGGGGGTGGGTAACACATCTGGGGGCACAAGACAGGCCAGAGCCTGCTGCAGACTGTGGTACTCCTGGCAGCCACCTCGCTTCATTGCAAGTGGGGTGAAGCCCAGCAGCCCCCCATCCTGCCCCACAGGTCCCTGTGAGCCCTTCAGTCTGCTGGAGAAGCCCCTGGAGGAGGTAGCTGGGCTGGAACCGCTGCAGGACCATCATCCCAGGGACAGCTGGGGCCTGGGCTGGGGGTGAGGGTGCTAAACTTGGGCGCAGGGTCCTGCCTGTGCCCCCAGCCTGCGCACCTGCTCAGCACCATGTTGCACAGGGCTGCGGGGACACCCAGCAGCCACCCTTCAAAGCAGCATTTTGGGATCACAGAAGGTGCTGGGAAAACTGCCTGGCTCTCTGACACCTCCACACACCCACTGGGCCATGGAGTGCCCCCAGCCCACGCAGCAGGTCCAGGTACCTGGGGTAGCACTCAGTGCCCCCAGCTGCACCAGGCTGAGTGGGTGTTAACAGCACCCAAGCAGGCCCTGGGGTTGGGTTGGGCTCAGCTGGGTTTGGACCCAGGAGGAGCATTTCAGCTGCAGGGGTGGCCAAGGGGAAGGCAAAGGGGCCCCACTCCAACATAAATCAGCAGGATAAGACCCCTGAGCTGGCTGGGGCTGCCCCAGTGCAAAGTGAGGTGGAGAGGGAGCTTGAGGCACAGGGATTTTGGAGGATCCCTCTGCCCTTGTCCAGAAGCAGCACTCAGTTTGGGCACCCACTTCATGATGCTGTGGAGCTCATGGTGGGCCCCAGGAGGGTGTCCTCATCCAGCAGGACCTCCAACTAAGCAAGGGATTGCCTCCTTGGACAGAGGGAGCCCACATTTGCCCATGTTTCAGTCTCCTCATGCTCCCCTCCCTGGGCTCAGCCAGTGTTTGATGATGTGGGTGCTCCTGGCCCCAGACCCCCTCCTCCTTCAAGGTGTTACTGAAGGAATGGCAGCCACAGGGAAAGAAGAAGAGGAAAAGCAAGTACATGAGCGACGGCCAGGATCAGCTGCAGTGGCAAGCCTCGAGGGCCAGCAGTGCCATGGAGAGCTGCCCCCAGGCATTGCAGCACAGAGCCCCCAGCCCCCCCCCCGAGGCGTCTGTCACACCCCAGGACAGGTAACGCAGGAACCACCTGGGGTTGAGCCAGTCCCACTGCTGAGTCTCCCCCCAGGGTGATCTGTGTCCCCAAGGCAGAGGGACGGGTGCTGGGCAGGGACATCTCACACATGTCTGTCTGCTCCCTTGGTAGGAAAAGCACGTCTAGCCTGCGCATGAATCTGTACAACAAGGAGGGGGAAGAGCAGGAGGAGTCTTTGCTGGAGCTGGAAGGTAACTCCTGCTCCTCCCCATCCAGTTCAACTGTGTTTGCTCGATCATGCTTCTCTGAAATCCTCTGTCCTGCCTCGGTGACTCCAGCATGCTGGAGAAACCAGAGTGAAGCCATGTGCACAATTCGGGCAGATCTCCATTTCTCATTAAGCTGTGGGATGAGACAACACCCCTGTTTAGCTAAGCTCCCTGCCCCTTGATGCCAGGGGCCATGGCTGCTTGCAGGATCAGGCTCATGACCGTAAGGACCGGCTGCTGGGAGTCTGGAGTGGCTTTTTCCCCCCCAAATCAGGGCTGTGTCGCTGTGCTGCCTGGCATAAAGGAGTGTGAGCAGCTGGAGGTACTTCCTGGGGCAAGTGCTGGAGGTGGCGGTTGCTCTCAGCTCCCTGGGAGAGTTGTAATAACTCCAACCTTGCTGAACCTGCAAATTTTGGGCTGCGTTTGAGGCTGTTGGTGTTAGGGACCACTAGATGGAGATGTCTGTACATGCTTCGTCAGATGCTTTCCACCTTGCTGTGCTGCTTTGTGATCATCTCCCACTGCAGACAGGGATCCCCAGGGAAATTCCCCCCATGGAGGTTTCCAGAGAGTGGGGACACCCTGCAATCCATCCCACAGACACAGCTCTTGCAGCAACACTTTGGGCTGGGGTTCTTTTTTAATGTTACTTTTATTCCTGAAAGCACTGAAGTGCTCCGTCTTCTTGGAACCCATTAATATATCAACTCCTTTTGTAAACTGATGTCTGTTAATAAATCCAAGAATGAGCAAAGCACTTCCTGATGCAGCTAGGAGATGATTTAAGGTGCATTCTGTTCCATTCTCAACCTAGAACTGTATTTTCCAGGTCTCTAGGAAATTTTCTGAAATGAAACACATCTCTCTATTGATTCTAGGGAAGCAGGTCAATGTTGGAGAGGTGAAGTCTCACCTACCCCCAGTGGAAATCCACTTACCAGAGCAGAATCACCAGGAGGCACTGGACGACATGGCTGTGGATGGTGAGTATATCAGCACTTTGGGATTGTTCAGGATCTGGAGCATCTGCCGGGCAGAAAGCTTAAGACTTGGGGACGAAGAGGAGAAAGAGCTGGAATAAAAAAAAAACACCAAAGTGATGAGATTTCCCAGAGCACAAAATCACAGAATAATTCAGGTTGGAAGGGACCTCAGGAGGTCTCTAGTCCAACCTCTTGCTCGAAGCTGGGTCAGCTGAGAGATCAGACTGGGTTGCTCTGGGATTTATCCATTATAGGATCTCGAGGGCAGTAAAGGAGTCAGGGTTAGTCTGGGATGAAAGAATGCTATGCTCTGGGGAAAGCTTGGACCTCCAGCCTACATCTGGCCAAAAAGGCCCTGGTCTGGGAAGCAATTTGGGGGTGAGATTCTCTAAAATCACCAAATCCTTTGTGGATATGAGAGTGCTCAGTGTTGTAAACTGCCCTTTTGGTGAGACATTTAAAGCTGCAGCCAAGAGTCTCCCTGCAAATTCTTGTATTTTGGGCTCCCCTTCCTCAAACGTATTTCCCCATTGACTAAGCTCCATCTTCCCCCATACGCCAGGAGACACAGTTCACACAGGTCCCCTTAGCCAGCGAGGAGCTGCAGGAAGCCCTAGGACACACCAGAGGTGGGAACCAATATTTCCTTCCTTGCTCTCTGCTCCTACAAGACACCTTGCAGCCAGCAACACAGCGACAGGAGCACAGGGAGGCTGCTGGGTCTCTGCAGCTCATGCTTGGCCCATGGCTGGCATGGGATATGCCGTGCACTCAGCAGAGGTTAAATTCTCTCCCTTTCTCCCTTCCCTTTAATCTTGTGTTGAATTTTTGCTTTGCATTATTTGGCACAGGGGGAGCAGTATGAACTCTATGAACAGCAAGATATAAATGCCATCCCTCAGCATATCAAAGGAGAAGGGGGCTGCGTCTAGAGCATGTTACACATGGTGCAGCATGGAGGGAGGTGATGGTTGATGAATGGCTGTGGAAAGGGAATTTAATCTCTCTTGGCCTCAGCATCCCACCCTGCCTGGGGGAAGGGAGTTTCATTGCATTATTGTGGCTACAGTCCTTTAGATCCTGAGATGGGAAGAGTAGGTGAAAGGCAAAGGAGTCTCTATTATTATTATTTACTGTTTTTTGCCAAGTCTCTCTGTGCTGCCTGCCAGCATGCAGAGGAGGTTTCCAACACTTTCTTGTTACAGACAACACAGCCACTGTGGATAATCTGAGCTCTGATCTGGCCATGGTGGAGAACTTGTCCAGATCTTCCTGGGGGCTGCTGGGATCTCTGCTCCCTTTGAGCTCTGTGAAGGTAAGACAAGTCTCAGTCATGGCTCTGACCACTCTCCTCCTCTCCAGCCCCTGGAAAAAATTACTCAGGCAGCTTCAATTCTGTTGATGCCAGAGGAATGCTCCTCTTCAAAGTCTTCTTGAAGCTGGTGGAGTTGGCAGCTCTGCGCCAGAGAACTCTGTTTCAGATTATCAGGTGAGCTGCCTTAGCTCTGCAAGACAGAGAAGGGAGGTCCCTGTTTTACTGGGACAATTGTACCTTATATAACAAAATATATAGAACACACAGGCCCCAAGACTAGGTTTCCAGAAATGTTTCATATCCAGGTAGACATCCAAAATCACCTGTATAGCTCAGCCACCTGCTCTACAAAGGTTGTAAATGCCACCATGTATCTATCATACACCTTTGCAGTTTAAATAGCCTCACGTACCCGGTCTTTCAGTCTTTCCAGATACGTGGGTGCACAGCAGCTAGTGCTGAGCAGGGCCTTGGGCTGTGTTTCACAGGACAATGACGCCCTCTTTTGTCTTCTAGTTACTACCAGCAGAAGCTTAGGGACTGCACTAGCCAAAAAGTCTGGAAGGATGGTGACTCCTCAAGAGTCGCAGAAAGAAGCTCCACAGAATTAAGAAAGAGCCAGTTTACCCTATGCCTTCCTTTGTAAGCGCTGCCCATGTCTCAGCCATGAACAAAAGGGAGGCAGCAGCTTACATGGAGCACCTCAAAGGTAAGGCTTGCACACTGTCACTCCCACTCTGTCCAAAAGGGAAGTCACTGGAGCTATGAGGGTGACAGCCTGACTGGTGCATTTCCCACAGCTTCTTCTGTTCCCTCCTGGCACGTGGCCTTCTCCGAAGGTGGAGGATCAGTGCTTCCGGTATTGAGCTCAGCAAGGCTCAGTCAGTCCTGTGTTAGCAAACCTTTCCCAAGATAATTCCCAAGAGGATCACAGAAAACGGAGCTGGAGCAGACCTTGGGAGTCCATCCAGCCCAAAACCCTCCCAGGGCAAGAACCAAATCAAAGAGTTGTAGAGGCTTCTGCTCCAGGGGATCTTAGGGGCGAAGGAATTGCTCTTCAGAGGTGTCTGTGCAAGGTGGCTGCCTTAAACACTTAAAAAGTGTCTAGCAGTGGGTGAGCTCTGGGTTACCCCAACACCTATAGGCACCTCTATGCCATGGATTGCTGCAGATTAAGCACTCAACACCGTAGCCAAGGCACTGGTGCCTTTGTGGATCTATGCCTGCTAACGTTGGGCATGCCGGATGGCAGCTCCTGTGACTCGTCATTCAGAGGAGTGAGGAATTCAGGACCGACCAAGTCCTTCCTCGGCGAGAGGAGGCAAACCAAGAGGCAGGATGTAGCTGGCTGTTGGCCACACCATCAGTGACTCTGATTCCTATTTCCCTTTGCCCTGTTCAAAGGTGGCAAGGCAGAGGAATGAGCCAACGGCTTTGAGAGCTACTTCTTCTGTGAGAGAAACCGGGCGCAGGAGTTGAGAGAGACAAGCAATGCTTCAGCTGTGTAACAGTATCGAAGGAGGTGTGGGGACAAGCTTGAAAACCCGTGCTTTGTTTAATCAGGCAGCTGCTCTCAAGCCTCCTGCTCACCGCAGAAACTGAACACAACACGTCATCTGACAACAGACAGCCCAGGCAAGACACAAGTGCAAGTAAGTGTGAAATGCAGAGAAAAGATGTTATCCTTTGTCGTATGGGGACTGCAATTGGAGCGGAATTAAGTGTGACTGGTCACTCATGTAACCTATACATTAACTGTCTGGTGAACGCTTTAACTAGACACAGGTATTAAAGAGCAGTTTTGTTGTAAGTGCAGGGAAAAATGAAAACGAAGTATAATAATAGCTTGATTGTTTATTACCATTAATCGTCAGCATGAATTGGTTATAACCTGCCAGCACCGCATCATAACATGTCACTGAGGTGCTTTTTGTCTTGTACGTATGCATGTGGCATGTGCTTCTACCAGGGCAAAGCTGTGTGATTTCCCCACCAGGGCCCTCTGCCTCCTCTTTCAACTTCCCTTCCTCCTCCCAGAAGACGCAGGCAGCCAAGCGGTACAGGCACAGCCTGGCCCTCTGCTAGCACCACAGCCTGCTAAAGCTGTGGCAGAAGATTGGCGGGGGCCAGATCGGCCTGCAGACAGGCAATGAGCGCTTCAGCTGCACCTTCTGCACCTACTCCTGGTCGTGGAACACCTGCCGGGAGCTGGCGACAGCTGCCGACCTCCGCAGACTGGACAGCCAGCTCTGCCGCAGGCGGCAGCGCGCGAGGCAGGGAACAGCAATGGAACCCAGGCAAAGGCTGTGCCTGGATGCCACCAGAAGCTGGTGAATGCTGGACAACGGCGGCGTGGGCTGGGCCTACTCCCACCCTGGTGTATGAAACGCTAAATGAAAGCCGGGAAAAGCGTTTTTATCGCCGTGGTGGCCGTTTCCCGCCCAACACGGGCGCCCCAGCCTGCCGCCGTTACCGCCATTCCTCTGGGGCGGCACTGAGAGCGTTTCCCGCCACCACCCTCACGTGACAACAGCGTCCCTCACATGACCACCACCGCCCGCCTAGTCCTCTTTCGGGTCGGACGGTGGGGGGGTGCTTCCGGTTCCGGTGGCGCTCGGCCCATCATGGCGGCGCCCAGGGAGGCACCGGAGTGGCGGCCCTTCGGGAGGCGCTTCCTCACCGACCCCGCCCGCCTCTTCCAGCACAACGCCTGGTGAGGGCGGCCGCCGCCTTTTCGCCCCGCCGGTGCCCACTGCGCATCCCTGGCCCTTTGCTGCCCACCGCGGAGAGGCCCGGGGAGCCGGCCGAGGCGCTCTGGGGCGCTGCTGCCCTGTGGTGCCTCTCCGCGCCCGGCCGCGGGGGTTGGGGTGGGATGGCCGGGGGAGGGCTCGTCCTCGCCGCCCCGGCCTCCCGGTAGTCTGCTGCGGCGCGCTGTGTAACGGGGCTCTTGGTGGCAGGGACGGGTCAGCCCTGAGCTGACCCGCTCTGCTTCATGGGGGCCCGGCTGCACACTTTGAAGCGCCCACCGGGGCGCGGAGCAGGCCGGGGGGAGCTGTGGGTGTGGGGCGGGGGCTGGCGCCCCCGGGTTGGAGTGCTGCCAGCGTGGCAGGCGGAGCGATGAGGGCTTGGAGGTGCGGGAGGGCTCTGCTCTGTGGTAATCCCCGGGGGGTCCTGAGCCTTCCTCGGCTCCTCCCGAAGCAGTCGGGATTCCTCAGGCTCCCTCGATGTTTCAGGAGAATGTGTTGCTTTGATTTGTAGGAATTGTTTAATTGCTATAGTTAATAAAGTTAAATGATCTGCTTTCAGAAATGCATAACCCTTCTCCATCTGTATACATAAGTGACTAACGTATACATTGAACAAAGATCATTTCACCCATCTGCTGCTACGTGACGCTGTAACAGTGTGAGATCGTGCTAGGTGTTAGCTTGGAACAGGAGGTCTTTGGTTAGAGAAAGCTGTTGTTTTAAGATATGTTAAGCACCCAGATTCTCAAATTTGCTGGGAACTGAAAGTATTTTGCATATTTGAAGTAAATATGTCCACTTTTGGTCTCTGGCTGCCATACCCTATTAACAATTGGGTATGTTTAATTTGTAATAAAGTAATTTGTGCATGTATCAGCTTGTAATTCATTTTGGGACTATACTATATCAAAGGTATGTTACTAAAGCATATCCTCAATAGTATTTCCTTGCAGAAACTCCTAGTAATCTAGTTTTTCACAGACGTGACATTTGTCAAGGCTTTATTTTGTAAGTTAATATCAAAGGACTAATTCCTCCTGAGTCCAGAATAGTGCTTCTTGATCCTTGTAGTCTGTTTTACATTCACTGGTTTTAATGAAGAAAGGTCAAGTGAATCACTTTAATGACTACACAACTGTGTATGCACAATTAAGTTATTAATAGGTTCTTAATGCTTTAAAGCTTCCTGCACATTTTTCTTATAATTGGATTTAATATTAATAAAACACTTTACCTTCCAAATAGCCCTACTGCCTTTTTTGTTTTAACTTGTGAAAGCAAATGTAGATTTCTAAGACAGCTAAATCAAATGGCCTATGTTGATGACCTGCTTGAGTGAACGCTCGCAAGCACCTACCTGTCCGTCACCTGTGTAGGAGGAATAAGTGCTTTTCACTGTGTGAGAATAGCAGTTCCTCTGCAAGGAGGCCCTCATAGTTTTATAGTAAGGATTTATTTTGTCTGAACTTGGCTGAGCATCAAATAGGGGGAAGGATTAGGGGACAGATTTGGCGTCTCTTGGGCTCCCTCCCAGTTACATTTTTTGTAATGCTAGAAGTGCAGTTCATTCAGAACCGGGAACCATACGTGCTGATAGCTGTTGTACTGCTGCTGAGCTAGAATTAGAGATCATGGAAGAGCTCCACAGCTGTCTATTTGGAGACCTGTCTAGACCTTTCTCTTTTCTCTCTGTCTTTGCCCCACCATTCTCAGCTGAGTAGTTCATCTTGTTTTTTACAACAGGGATAATGTGGAGTGGTCAGAAGAGCAAGAAGCCAGTGCCAGAAGTAAAGTTCAAGAGAACAGCTCACAGCTATTGCCACAAGATAAACAAGGTACTTTTGGGTACTATTGTAATGCTGAGTCTTAACTTGTTCATACAAGAGTGGCACAGTCTGGTCAGAGCTGATATGCGTCATCATTTATTCCTCCCTTCCCCCCCCCCATCTTCTGAATCATTCAAAATACATTACCTAGTGGTTGATAATGAAAAATGGAGGAGGAGGAATCTTTCTATTCTTAATTTACCTCTTTGTGACTTTTCCACCTTCTCCAGAGACTTGTCCTACTGGAACGGAAATGATCTTGGCTGGGAGGAATCCTCTTGGGTTGAGTTTCTTTGTTCATGTTGTGTACGTTCAAATACTTATTAGTGTTCCTTGTCAACAAACTTCTTTCAGTGTAGAGCAACAGCCTCATTTAGTCTTGTTTTCTCTGCTTGCTTTTGCTCTCTAAAGCTTAACTTCTATCAGGCAATCTTTTGTTTGCTTGCATGCTGTGGAGCTATCCCTAATGCAAGCTTGGTTTTTCTCTTAAGAGGGTCTAATAAAGTAGTGTCTATATTCATCTCTACCAGCTTAACAAACAGCATGGTAATAATTAAATCAAAAGCGAAAAAAAAATGATTTTATCCTGATTGAAGTGTTTATCATCAGAGAGGGATTCCAAAATTTTTGTTTCCTCAAACTAGGTTTAAAGGATATTTATACATCCAAAATGCAAAGCTTACCTAAATCTGAATCAAGCTAAAGATGCACAGCTCTATAGTCAAGTAATACAGCTAAAGCTGTTGTGAGTTGGTTAATAATGCGTCTTTCCTCCACACCTGCTAGATATCATCCAGTCCCTTAAATGATAGTGAAATGGCTTCCTGTTCTTTGGGTATGATAAGAGACGTTTTGATGATGATCTTGTTATATCCTGCTGAGTTCTAGGATGGATCTGCTCCTTTTGTTCAAATTAAATTGAGTGTGTCATCTGTAAGGCAATGTTGAACACTATTGGAGCTATTGAGACACTTCCCATATAGCTTCCAGTTGTGTTCACAATAGCAAATTTAATTATACCAAAGAGCAACCCTCCTAATTTCTTGGATTCTCAGAAGTATCCAGCAGTTTCTATTGTGATACCCATTGTGTTGGATTCATTTTCAAATCTGGTTAACATTAAAGGATGCTGTCTGTCATGCTTTGAGAACCTATATACAACTATGAAATCGTGGAGCAATTTACTGTTAGAGCAGTTTGTCAGGTCTTCATGATGTATTTCCCAGACTGAACAATGGAGGCCAGTCAGATTTTGATGGTTGCTATTCAGTGGGAAGCATGTGGAGACAATGGGATGGCTGAAACATAGGGAAGCCAGCCCAGCCAAATCTGCCTGAGGGTCTAGTGTTTTGAGAATCAGTAATGTCCAAGGAGGAGAACAAAGGCAGGCTATTGGTCATTATGGCTGTATTATTCTGTGGACTTCTTGGGGCTGTCAGAATTTGTTCTGAAGAAGGAGAGAAGTTCTGTGGGGTATGTCGAAGACGTGTCTCCTAGCTGGGAACAAAGAAAGAAGTGGAAGAGTTTCTTGGTTTCCTTTTGCGGCTCCATAATTAGCCCCCATGCAATTCAGGAGGTCCCTGATTCTCTTCCTGTCTTTTGCGAACAGTTACTTTTGTTTGCCCTTCTTCTGCAATGTGAAAGGGTGAGTATGGGCTTGGCTTTGGGGGTGTCCTTACAAAGACGAGCAGGAAAGTCAGGAGTCCTTATCAAGAAAGTCTCTGGAGGAATCCGGCTTGCACGCCGATGTCCCCATGAGCTAATACCACAAAAAGGATCTTGAAGCAAGTATTATGTGAACTTTTCTGGCATAAGTTGTGCAGGAAGTCAGGCTGAAAAATTACTATGGTCATTTTTTTGTTTTAAATCTGTTTCTTGCATGATCTTTGTCAGCTGGCCCTTGATTTCTTGCATTTATATTGTTACTGATCCTTTATTCCAGTGCTTTGAAAACACTAGGCTCTGAGGTAAATGAGCTTTAAATAAAGCTTCCACACATGTGGGTTGGAGTATAACAGCTGTTCAATAGCATCCAACAGAATTTCACAATAATTTAACACAGGAAGAGCACAATGTCTTGTTTAGTGTTATACTGTGGCAACAATGTGGGTAATCCAAAATGGCTGGGCTGGAATTTTGCCCCAGCACCTCAGGTAAGCATCCCATTACAGTCAGGCTGTCATGAGATTGTTAGGGACCCGCAGGAATCAGGACTTTATGTTTGTGTTCGGTGAAAGAGCATTTCCAGCCCCAGCAGCCTTGCATATCCCTACTAGTACATGGAAGAAGTGACAATTCAGCAAGGAGTGTGCCAGGGTATGAATCAATAACACTTCTTGCTCTGCCATTAGCAGTCATTGAGTTCTCCTATGCAAATAATAAACTGACTTGACCCTGCTTGCTTTGAGCTACAGTGAGATCATGGCACATACTTACTGCTCTAGTCTAATATCGGACATTAAAATTTCTTTCGGCTTGGGGTTTAAGGACAAAGCTTCTTAGAAGGAGAAAAATTGGGAAAGAGATTATTTTTATATATAGCTCTTTGTGCTTCAGGGATAGATCCTACTAAAAATATACATATGACTGACTTCTGGTTCTTTGTTAAAGCCATTTTTGTCTATATTTGGCTGAGGCTACATATTTTTCCACATGTTCTTGGTTCATTTTACTATCTCCCTTCAGATATCTTCTAAACACTTGTATGCTGTTCAGAAAGACTAATAAATAAACTGCAGTTCAGACAATAATGCTAATCTCCAATTTTAAGGTGCCTGCTTTTTCTCTTAACCTTACTCTTAGTAGCTGTTGGAGAGAGGTTATCCATTCTCACATACAGTTGTCATCTTTCATTGTGGGAGAATCATTTGTATTCAGTAATGCACTTGTTGCTGTGCAAAGATGGCTGAGGAGTTGTGTGTTATTGAAATGCAGTTGGGGTTTCTCGCCGTAGATATTAATGCCTCTAGGTGATTACAAGCATAAGATGCTATAATTAGCTCTTATTTCCCAGGACACAGAACTCATCACATTCATGAGAATTCAGGAAGCCAGTTGGATTCGTAACTTCCCATAGAAAGAATAGTTCCCCTACAACTGTACTTGATCTGAAATCTGTGAAGGTGTGTGAAAATAATTCTGTGGGTGACTCGAATTTCATTAGAACATGGCTTTGTAAGAGTTCTTCCAGCTTTCTGTAATACTTATCTTGCTATTGGAATGTATCCACTTGGTGTGAAAATGATAATGCTTGCTGCTGAAGTTAATTCTTATCATCTTTAGTCTATCCACCTTAGCTCTCCACTGTTACTTGAATGACAGTGGTCACTTCTGTTGATTCCCCTCTTTTGTTTTAATTTCATAAATGCATGATGCTCTGACATGCACAGAACTATGGAAAACAAAGTGCTGTAGACTGGACTCTAGCAATATTTGTGTAAAATATGCTGGCCTGTAATCTTGGAGTATTGTGCAAATGCTAATTGAGCTTTCTGCTAGGCCTGGATAGTTGACTAATTTTTCTGTTTCTGCATCTGAAAAAAAGGGGTAGCATGTTGGACAGGAGCTCTCCAGCTCCAGGCAGCTGTCATAGAATTCCTTAGAAGTTGTAAGTTCTTGACACTTAGTGTCACGAGGCTCTAAATGAATTGTTCCAGTGAACTGAACAAGTTAGTGTTAGAGATGGAAGTAAAACCTGGATTTCTTCATTCCAGTCTCCTTCAAAGAGACCTTTCCTGCTGCCAGCTTCCTCTAAATCCTACCAGGAGACAGTTTCCTCTTCTCTCTCTTTTCCCTTTTTTTAGTCCTAACAAAGTGAACCATGAGGAGGCAGGCTGAGTGTTTATATGGGATGGCACAATTTAAATAAAGGTGATTTTCAATCAGTAACCTTACTTCTTAAAAGAGAGTGCTGAATAGATGTCTGCAGTGATCCCTCACTGTCTGAACCGATTAAACTCAGAGACCTTCTGATTTGACTGCTGGTGATGTTTTTGTGTGTGTTCGCAGAGGAATATGAGGTGAATGCTAAGAGATACTGGGATGAGTTTTATAAAATCCATGAAAATGGCTTCTTCAAGGACAGGCACTGGCTGTTCACTGAATTTCCTGAGCTGGCACCTAACAGGAACCCAAGTCAAAATGGGGATTCTGTGCATGAATTTAGTAACAAAGAAGAATCCAACAATGAAGGGCTGGGAAGCTGTGAAAATGGACATTGTTCATTGGAAACCATGGCAGACAATCACTTAAACCTGATAAAAACCACACCTAAGATCTGCGCAGAGGAGCTGGCTACACAGAAGTATAGTGAGCTGAATCAAAGTGATGGAGATTACCCAGGATCATCTGCATCTTACCGTATATTAGAGGTAATAGCTGTAAAACAGAGTCACACATCAAACAGTCCCTTCTATCAGTGTTAGTGTGACTAGGATGTAAAAATATATATCATTGGCAAACAGCAACTGAAGGGGATGATTGCCTTAAGTCAGTAAAATGCAAAAAACAGAGGGCAGCTTAGAACTGAATTAAATCTGTTGGGATTCTTTTTGTTCAGACTGTGAATTGGCAGAGCACAAGGACCATAAGAAGTTTCCGAGTTTAAAAGACAAACTATTACTATCAGATGTTGAAACAAACATTTAAAAGTCATCTTTTGACGAAGCTTATTCTTTTACTTCTCTGTATAAAGCTTTCCCTTGTCATTTATCTTTTGCATGTTTGTGCTGACTTTTGTTTGCCTTTGGAGGTGTGAAACAAAACAATGAAACCAAGAACATAAATATGCTGTTTGGTTTGTTCCTTATGGCCCATGTAAGAACGTGGAATCTCAGATGGATATAGGGTTTGTCCCAGCAAAGTCTGTAGGACTTCTAAATATTAGACTCCTGACAGCTGGGCCACCTCTAGTTTGTTCACTGTAGATGTAGCTGGTTTTGTTGAATGCTTCATGTTCTATGGAAGTTCCGCCCTTCCAGGGAGAGTCAATATGAAATGTCCTTTTGATTTTTTTATTTAATCTGAGGCTTTGAGACTTCCTCAGACTTTGATGTTCTTGGGTCATTGTGGCTTTCCTGTCTCACCTGAGTACTTCTAGTAGTATCTGTCACTGCAAGCCCATCAATGGTGTTTTCTGCTCAGTCTATTTTGATTTAAACATTCAGAGGCCAATTCCCCAAACCCAGTTGTGTGAACCATCTTCTCTTCAAATGGGAACAAGTAGAAGGAATAATAAGGCAGAATTATTGTAGGCCTAGTCGTAACTTGAGCAAGAGCCATGTAGTGAAGGAAACTCTGAAACAGCAGGATGTAATTATAGTAAAGCAAACTTCTTTCTCCATTGCTCTGATTTTCTATGGAAGTGAATGCAACTAATCCATGGCTTTTGCTAATACTTCAGTGATTCATACTGGTTGTTATCCTTGGGATTCCAGCAATAAGAGTTTTCAAAAGAGTAATAATATATAGCTTGTTAGTAAGATTTCTACAAAATCTGTTTTCTCACAAATGCTTGTATGTAAGCCTGCTCCTCAAGCTGAACATGTTCAGCTCTTGCAGTGAGATTTGCAAATGGTCACTGCTATGCTCAGTTGTTACTCATGAGTTGCTCTTTGTTCCACGGCTGTAGAGAGATGATTTGAAATTACCTGCATGGGACATGCTGAAGAAATTCTTTTCACTATGTGTACATCTGCTTTGTTTGTGCAGGTTGGCTGTGGTGCTGGAAATACAGTCTTCCCAATTTTACAAACCAACAAGTAAGTAGTTCTCAGTAGGTTTTTACCTGCATGGTATACCAGCCTCTGAAAAACCATTGGAAAAGTGTTGCATGTGTTCTTAGTTTAGACAATCTCAGAGAAAGGCAAATGGTACCTTTGCCATCTGCAACTTCAAAGGATTGTGTTTTGAGCTTGGAAATCTTTGGTCTTAAAATGCAACCAATGAAACATGATGCAAGTTTACATGTCTCATTCTGAATGCATTTTCATACAGGCCTCAGTGTCTCTCCTTTTCCAGAAGGAAAAGTAAGCAGTCAGTTCCATGTGAGAATAACTGAGGCATAAAGGAGCAACGTGATCCACCAGATTTTGCACAAGGCATTGTTGACAGAGATAGACTAAAGTCCGGGATTCTATGCTCTGTGCATTTGAGACACTTCTTAATTCCTGTGGAACACCTTTATATAAATGATGATAGTTTCTTTTATTTATTTCAGTGACCCAGGCCTTTTTGTTTATTGCTGTGATTTTTCTACAACAGCTGTGGATCTTGTCCAGGTAAACTCAATGGCGACTTATGAAGGTAGGAAGTACATGGTGCCAATTGCACATTAACACAAACATATCACAGCTGCCACCGGCTGTCTAGCTGTGTTGGCAGCTTTCTTTTTTTAGCTAGCCCTGATGCTGACCCTTGTACTGGCAAATCAGGAAAATGAGCCATCAAAGACTGTAGAAATGAGGGAAGCTGGAGTTCGCAAAATGTCACATTGGCAGCAGACAAGTCAGCCAGATTTTCTTTCCCCTGTGGTTGGCAGTACTTTTCTAAATCCAGTGCTCTTTTAGTTGAGTAACTGCTTTTTTTGCTGAACCTTGAAAAAATTCAGGCTATTTTTTAACAGAAACTGAAGCTGGTTTTGGTTTGTGTGTGCATTACTGTCACTGCAGTTCTGGGAACGTGGTCTGATTGCTTCTGCGCAGACAGCTAAGGAGGGATACTGTTGTCTGTGGAGCAGGAGGCTGGAATTTAGTCAAAGGACAAATACTGCTAACAAATCTCAGGTCAGAACAGAACTGAGAATATATGAAGTATCGAATGTAATCAGTCACTTTGTGAGATGGGGAGCACAGTAGCAGAGGCAGTGTGCCATTTCCTTCTCTTAAGCTGACACAAGCACTGTTTATAGAGGCTATTGCAATCTGTAGCAGCAGCTTTAGAAAAATATACAACTTCTTTTGGAAGTCTAAACGTGATTTTTAAGAGAGTAGCTTTAGGCAGCCAGGTTTCATGTTTGGGGTATTGGGAGTAGTCTGCTTGTAGCTGAAATGAGTATTGATTTCAGTGACGCCGAGAGGGCCCCTGACACTCTCACTTTTGTAAAGATTTCCAGTTTAACAGTGTAAATCCATCACTTCTTACCGTTATTAGTGGAAAATCTGATCTTAAAATTGCAATAATCCCTCAATCCAGTTTTGGGTTTTTGGCAGTGCTGATTGTCTGAACGTAACAAGTCCAAAGCTCTTTTTAAATTTCCCATGTGTACTTATTTTTCACATTTCACCTCTGTTCCTTGTCTGAGCAGGGAACCTATCTCACCCCATCTGCCTTAGTCTAGTGAGGCTGAAGCAGATCTCTGGACACACCACTTTATTATGTGAAAGTTAAAATGCTCCCATGTCCAGATAATATTGAGATCAGGGTCTGCTGCTAATGGTCTAATTTCTCTCCCCTTAAATACAGAACAATGCAGAATATGATTCTTCTCGCTGCTTTGCATTTGTCCATGACCTGTGCAATGACCAAAGTCCTTTCCCAATGCCAGACGAGAGTCTTGACGTTGTTATCCTTATCTTTGTCCTCTCAGCGATTCTCCCAGAGAAGTAAGTTTTAATAATTCCTTCTGGTTGCAGAAGATAATGCGTATAGAACTGGTGTTCTTTAATAGGAAGTCCCCTCATATCAAGGAAAATTAGTTTGTTCTGTGTCTGGTCCAGTTTTCCATTAAGCCTCTGAAAATGAAATTTGCAGGTACTTTCTGTTCTAAGAAATTCTGGTACAGGATAGGTGTGATTTGAAAGTGCTAAGTGGCTATAGGTGATGTCTTTCTGCGCTCACAGTTACTCACCTGTTCTGAACCCCAGCCACACTGAGCACTCGGCACCCATTTGTGGAAAGTACGCTGCTAGATTTTACGGCTCAAAGGCTGATGAATTTCTCATATGGGAGGGGACAGGTTCAGAAGACAGTTAAGAAAAGTGCTGTGATCTTAGCCTGACAGTGTGTTACAACCTATACTAGTCTCTCTTTCTTGTTCCCTTCCGTTTTATTTCACATCATTTTTCAAGTTCACTTATTACTTGTTTTACAGAAACCAGTAGAGATACTTTTATAATTAATAAGAGAGAGCAGTTAATCCCTGCTGTGGCAGGCTAAGTTATTGTTGTAGGAAAAAAAAGCAGAATCGAGGACTGTCAGAAATAAGACAGCCAAATAAAATCAACCCACCTACATCTGAGAGAGCTCAGAAAAGTGCTAGCTTTTGGTAGCTCTTCATATGAAGTTGAAACATATATAAAACTTTATACCTTCTTTTTGGAAAGTAGCTTAAGAAAACAAGCATCATTTTGCAGAACGATGAATACTTCTGTTTTGTTCTTTCCTCAGGATGCAATGCATCGTTAACAGACTGAGTCGCCTTCTGAAACCAGGAGGAATGATTTTGTTACGAGATTATGGCCGTTACGATCTGGCCCAGCTTCGGTTTAAGAAAGGTATTTTCTTTTCCCCTGGGGAGTCTTGCCAGATCACTAGTAGATGATGCTTCTCTGGAGTACTGTCTACCCTGTTTAGGAAGCAGCTCATTAATTCCCCTTAAGCACAGCATGTGCTGAGAGAAGTGCCTCTTGTCTTTATGTGCAGCTGGATGGCAGTTGTTGATTTTTAAATGATAGCTGGTAACTGTTTAAATCTTTCTTGCCCTTAGGTCAATGTCTGTCTGATAACTTCTATGTGAGAGGTGATGGCACCAGAGTCTACTTCTTTACACAAGGTGGGAGGCTAGAAAACATCCCTCTGACTCTCCTCACCTCTTTTTGTCCCTGTGCCCTCAAATTTTGCCACTAGCTCTTTCCAACCTGTCTTTCTTGGAGCAGTGTGAAATGTTAAGTGTCTCCCAATTGCACGGGTACCTGGGCTTGTCACTTGCTGATGCGACTATGGCATGGTGAATTCCTTTGTGGAAAAACCTGTTAGAGAAAGGCTAGTGTGTTTGGTACACTGGGAGGGGTAGGATTGGAGGAGCTCTCCTTGAATCTTATTGCCTGCAGAGGATGGAGTGAGATGGACACCACTTGAAGGAACTTCTCTTAACTTTACTGTTCTCCTACAAGGAATAAGAAGGGCATGGTTCAGCATAGAGCTGAGGCAGCCTCTCCAGTTCTGCTGCTTCTTGGTTTTCAGCAGGGGTTGTATTCTCCTTGCTTATCACCAATTGCACCTCCAGTCACTTCCACCGCAGGCCCTCTGCCTGGTCAGTTTTAGAGCAGTGGCACAACTACAACAAACTATTCCCTTCCCTGCTGCACAAGTCTTGTTTGTCACAACAAAATTAATGTTTAATGTGTGTTTGGCAAACGCTTCACAATGGCAAGCATCCGATAAAAGAGCACAAGCTAGGACCTGTTAGCCCTTTTCTACAGAAACTCCACACAAATCATGTGCTCCCAGGCTGCAGTTGAACAACCTCTCTGCTGCTCAGCAGGACTCGGTCTGGCTTTGCCCACAGCCAGTGTGCTGGGGCACTATGATACTTATTTGCTTGATCAGGAATACCTGCCCGTGTAAGTGTTGCAGCCTCGAGGGCTCTTAGTGCTTTGATTGGGCCCCAACAGGCTGTGGTTTTTTAAGGATTTTTTTTTCCCAAACTTAAACTTAATGAATCTCATTCCCCTCCAGCCTATATAGCACAGATCTTATTGCCACCATTTAACAGCATAGGTCTGATTCCATTCTTGGCTCTTGCAGACTCTGAAATTCCTCTGGAGAGAGGGAGGAGGGGGAAGGAATGGATCTGTCCCTACTCGCCAGAAGATGCTCCCTTAATTGGCGATGCCCATGTCTGAAACTGCTGCTGTTTTTCTCTTTGTCAAGTCTCTGTAATTCTAGTTGTCCTCAGAATAATTCTCTCCTTCCTTGGTAGAAGGTAAACTCAAGAGAAACTAGAGAAACTATGGTCTTAATCCCCCCATAGTACAGTAATAAAGTCCTGTCTGTTCTTTACATTTCCCTGCCAGAGTGAGACCGTGAGTTTCCTTTGGCCCATCTTTCAACATAGTTTAGCCCTCAGTGTGAGCAGGTATCAGTTAAATGAAAGCTATGGCATCCTCAATCTCCTTCTCTCTGCTTCCAGATGAATTAGAAGATCTCTTCACAACAGCTGGGCTGGAAAAAGTCCAGAATCTGGTTGATCGGCGATTGCAAGTGAACCGTGGGAAACAAATGACAATGTATCGAGTATGGATCCAGTGCAAATACCGCAAGCCTGCCGCCCCTCAGCTGTGAGAAAACAGGGCACGCTTTTTACGTTGGAGCCTCTTCATGGCCATGTGCAGTGTCTCCTCCTGGTGAGATGTGGTTTTACGGAGTTCAGAGCGCACACAGGACCTCAGTGCCTTTTACAGTGCCTAGCATCACTTCAAGTGAGTTTCGCTAAGGCTGAATGCTCTAAGAGGAGACCAAGCAGTAATTCAGATGTCTTGCTACTGGTCTGAGTTTTTAAAATTATTCATGGTTTTAACAACTTAAGAAATGGTCATGCTGTCTTACAGCAGCTGAGCAAGTTGAGTAGTGAGTCACTCTTACTCTGGATTTCCACATGAAACAGAAGAGCTTCGACCTTACCTCTGTGTAGCGTACTCTCTGTCTTGGGAACAAAATCCATACAAAGCGTAAATCTGCTCCTCTCTGCAACTGATCATTATGCCTAATATGAATCCCTTAGCCAACTTATCTCATGCAGCTCTCTTAGTCATTCAGGTTTGTGCAAATCCACAAGTTAAAGGGGGGCAGGAACTGAGAGCATGCTAGTTTCTCTGTGCCAGCTTCCCCATGGATACCTCATGGTGTGCAGATAACCTGTGGAGAAAGCAGATTATGCTGCCTTGCCCTCACTGTCCACAAGGATGTTCATTTCGGGAGCTAGCACACTATAGCTCATGTGCTATAAATTCATATCAGCCAGGGTTTAGGTTTTCAAAGATTTGGGGCTGATGCCAGTTTTAGGGCACCTCCAGAGTGCAGAGTATCACAAGCAGCTCACAGGACCAGGGTTTACGCAGAATTACCTGTTTTTTCTGCGTGAACAGTGAGAAACTGTTCTTGCTGGCTGCAGCCCCCGGGTCACAAACTGCACTGGCCTGTCATGGTGGTGTGCTAAACCCAAGTAGACAAGACACCTATCTTTGATAAGAAATCTGAAGAATGTCTACCACTTTTGTTTAATTTCTTAGAGGAAGCCAACATTGTGGCTTTCTGAAGGTATTTCCCCGCCTTTGACAGCAAATATCTTTTATCTCAGCTTGTTTTCTTTTGTTATTTTTAGGGTGTGGTGCAACAGGTATTAGAATAAATTTTGTGGTAATGCTTTTCAATGCTGGTTTGATTAATATAAATCAGGTTTCTACAGAAACACATGCTTCTGCACACCTGGTTTGAAGGATTTGGGCCACTGTTAGGTAACTACAGGTTTTTTTCCTCTTCTGTTATCATGAGTCTCACTAGTGCCTGCTCTCGTCTCTCAAGAAGGAAAAGCCTTGGCTGATATCTCCTACCTTGTTTTAGTTCATGAAGCAACAAGGTCTATTGTGTGTGCACCGCTGGCTGAAGAGGAATTCATGCTACACAAAGCATGTATTTTTTGTTAGTTAGACGCTTGTATTTGTAGTTTACAGTTGCGTAAGAATAACTGTCAGCTATAGAGACACGTAGGTTATGAAATAACAGCTGTCTTGAAACAGAGGAGAAAGGGTAAAAAAATGAGGAAATGTCATTGCTGTCTTTGATGAGTCTGCAGGAGTCCTGAAGAGTCAAACAGGGAGCACCCTTATTTGTAAAGCCTTGGAAGGGTCTGTAGCAATACTCTCTGTTGGGCATGTGGCAGCATGATCAGTTTATAACTTCCACATTGCTGTCACCCTGCAGGTATTAGTATGTCTGCTACCTGGAGGCTTCTGGGTCAGGACATTTCAGCCCTTCCTGTGGAAAGGTGACCCAGCAAATCCATTCACACCACAAAGGCAGGCTGCACTGCTGAGGTGGGAATGGAGATGCACCATTGCTTTTCATATATATCTAGCTCTTTTAAATAATGTTGAAAGGGAATCAAATAACTGGGAAGAGAATTCTTGTGCAATTTGTTGTACTGTATTTTCTAAAGGGCTAAGAGACTTTCCAGCATCTGCAAATGAAATAGGAGGAGATAAGGCTTCTTTCTTTCTAAGCACATTTGGCTTCTGCTGGGCACAAGCCTGACCTGACCCAGAATCTGTGCAGTTGCTGCTGTTTTCGTGCTAAACCTACAAAGTTTGGTTCCCTGGCAAGGTTGGTACCTCAGGCAAGGTCTAGGCAAAACACAGCTCAAGGCCTCTGGGAGCTGAGCAAGCTCATGTCTCCTCATCTTATTCAGGCAAAGAGTGAGGCTTAGTAAAAGAAGTCGTGTGAGTGTTTGATGTGATGTGACTCGTGTAACCGGCTCTGTCGCTTTCAGTGAAAGACCTCCCATGTGTTATTGGTGCCTTAGGCAATTCCCTGGAGTCCTTTCCCTCTTGGTCCCCTGAGGGAGACCTCCTCCTGGGATAGCTTTATCTCCCTGGAAGAAAAATTATTGACTGGGGTAAGCAAGCAGTGTAATTAATGTGAATTAAAGTAATTTGAAAAATGCCTTATTAATCATCTAAAGGCTTGTAAGCAGTGCAGGAAAATATGTTTTTAATTATAAACATGATTTATTTAAAGTTGATGGACTCCCTTTTAAATTTAAACTCCTGAATGGGAGAAGATGAAGGCTAATAATTTATTTGTTTCTACTTTCAAGGCTACATCCCAGTCGCCTGCCTGGTTTTGACTTGGGCTTCATGCAAAAACTTGCATCCCTGTGAGCCTTCAGCCATTGAAGTGGCTCTTTGCCTTTCTTAATGCTCTTCATTCTGCTGGAGTATTTAAGCAATTGCTCAACATGAACCATGCTGGGCAGACATGCTTTTGTTTCCAGTCCTGTTGGTGGTGTTCAGAAAGCAACAAGTTAATGGCCTTGAATTGAGCCAGGCCTCCTACAGACAGATACTGTCTGAGCTTCCTTCATTAATCTCCGCCAGCTCCTGTTTTCTGTGAAGCTGCTTTTCTCCTGCAACTCCAGGCCTTGCCTCCCACACAGCTCTGCTCAGGTACCTTGGGCCTGACTTGCAGCAGCTTCTGCCATTCCCACTTTGGGTCTGCTGAGCAGGCTGGGTTGCACAATGGCTTTCTAGCATGTTCAAAGGAAATCTCCGAATTGACTTTTACTGTATTGAAAAGCCAGGTTAAGTGCTTTTATTTTTTTTTCGCCCCCCCCCTCCCCCCTTCTTCCTTTTTAGCAGTGTCACATTAGCTTTAAAGCCATTCTGAGCGTATCTGCTCTGGTTTTGTTCCCAGCATTCCAGTCTTGTGGTCTGTGGCTGACAGGCAATGCCAATGTAGCTTGTCGAACCTCCCAAGCAGAAGAGATGATTTCATAGCTCTTCAGAGGCGCTGCCCCTGCAATTCTGGAGCCAGACATTGTTACACTTCAGAAAGTCTGGTACTGGCTCTTGCCAGAGGATGGCGGATTTCCTTGGAGGTTCATAGATTGTTTTGGCTGGAAGGGAACTTTATCATCACCTATTCTGACCCTTTGCATAACCCTTTCACGTAGGGATTATGGCATCAAACCTGTGACTTGGACTGAGCCAGAACCAGTCCTTCGGAAAGGCTTTCGATCCAGCCGTGATGCTGAGGGCTCCAGTGAATGGCAGAGAACCCTTTGTCTCCCCAGGTACATTGTTCCTCTCACGGCATCCTGATTTCGCAGATCGGCTGGAAACTGGGAGGCAGGAAGGGAACAGGGGAAGTAAGGAGAACAAGAGGCTGGGGAGTATTTCTGATACCGTCACTTCAAAAATAAATAAATTGTAAATTCCACTGAAAATGGGAGCTTTTTCAGGATCTTCCTGACAGCACAGCAAAATGAGAAATGGCAGTCATCCTTAGTGATTTTTGTTGTTACAACAGTAATCATCAAATGCTTCTGACCAGAAGCCTGTGAGACCAGACACAATTGTCTTCTCTCCCAGATACTTCAGCTCCACCTTCTCAGAATATGTCACCGCCATTTCCAATTCTGTAGTTAGTTGTAGAGCTCCAGGATAGATGAGATCTGATTATCTTCAATAAAACAGAGGTGTGAGCAGAAAGAACCCCCATGTATGCATGCCAGTGGCTTTTGGCATTGCATTGTAACTAAAGCAGAAAGAGCTTCCTGTTGTTGTTGGCGCTGGGATGAGCCCCAGCTGGTCCCCAGTTGGATTCCCTACAGGAATCACAGACCCAAACTGAACTTAACTGTTTTTCCTGAGCACAAATGAAAGATGCACAGGTTTCAGTGCCTAGAAGTGAGGGCAAAGATGAGGATGAGGTCGCAGGGATCAACTTCTTAAGGTATTTGGGGAATGTCCTTCCATCTCTGTAAAGACAGATGGAGGGAAACTGAGTCATGCAGTCTTTTTCATTCTCTGGATCAGTCAACTGGATCTGATTTGTCAGTCAGTCTAGTGCCACCACTTTTGGTTTGGTGCCATGTTTGGAAAACCAGTCCAGAAGAGAAGACACATGCTCAGGATCACTTTTGCTATTGTAGTTATTCATTTGCCTTGACGGGGGTGTGTGCTTGGCACATGTCTTTTTGTACAATGTCCATAGGATTCTAACAGTGTCGTCATATATGTTTTCAGGGCAAGATAGAAATTACTAGAAAAGCAAGGAGGAGGGAGGAATTTTTTGGAGGACTCTCCTGCAAAGCGAGGTGCTCTAGAGGGAAAGGAATTGTCAGCTCTGTGCTTAATCAGCAAAGCTCTGGAGTTTGTGCTTAGCTCTTGCTGAAGGCAGTAAGTTCTGTGTGTAAGTGCCTTGCTGAATGGGAGCTTGTATTGCCGAGAAAGTGGGACACAGCGCAGGAAATTACCTATGTAGGCAACAGTGAGTGCTAATCTGAACTAAATAGGATACAGCTACCTTTGTTATGGAGAGCACAAGCCAGACCTGGCAACTTGTCTGGAACACAGGCAGGGAGAAGCAATTGAATCTTAGCCATGTGTGCCTCTGCTTTTACCTCCTGCACAAAGGCTGTATGGTATGACAGGAGGTGTCATGCCAATGAAGGCTTTTACTCTTGAAAATACGGTCTTTGACCTACAGTTGGATGAGTGGGAACTGGCTGTGGTTGGAAAGCATTGGTGACAAAGATGACTAGCAAGTCTAACGTGTCAGCACCTCCCTGGAGCTCCCAGCCTGTTGGTCCATGGCTGTTTCCAGGAAGGAAGAACATCCTGGTGAGGTTTGGACCCTGCTGTCTAACCTGTACTTCCTGGTATTGAATAACCCCAGAGTCTTCACTGCAAGCACCAACACAGTGTGTGAACAGCAACTTGATTTTGGGGTTGGGTGCGAGCATGACTCCTGTATTCAGGTTGTTTTAATGTTTTGTAGTCCAAAGGACCCTTGTAGCTCTTGATTTTCATGTTATTTGGGGGTTGGGGAGTTCTGGGAGATTGCGGCCAATCCTTTGGCCTATGAAACTTTCTTTCAGCTCACGTGAAGTAGGAAGTTGC